ATCCAAGGATTGTGCACTTCATGTCAACTTTCAGCTACAGCTTGATGGATGTGAGGTTTAGCTTACTAAAGTAGCTGTAATGATAATGTGAGAAATGTCTTCCTCTCTGATGGTGTGTGTATGAAGGGTGTCAGGGGTCTGGCTATAGAAAACAAAAGCTTGAGCAGGGGGCACAAGAGATTGAATTCCCTGCTTGTGTACCTTCCCTTCCTGTCACGGTCTGCATGCACAACCTTCAGTTCATACTAAATGTAGCACTAAAACTAATTGTGATCGCCTGACAACAACACAAGCAGTCCCAAGGTCAGTACTTTGATCATATGGTAGCAGCGCTCCAAACAGCTGCTCCTGTGCTCTTCGTAACATTCTTCAAGGCACAGTTTGTGCCTCTAATGGGAAAAAGGCCAAACCAGGTTATGAAAATCCTTATTTACAGCTAGCTGCCTGGCTGTGTGAAGTAGGTCACGGCAGCTCCTGAAATGGAACGAACCTCGCTCGCACCGTTTAATACTTTTCTTTTGAATGCTCGCTGCCTCACAATGGCACCTGAGGGAAAGACACAGACACACTTTTTTTCCACTCCTCCTTAGCGAGTCTCGACCCTACTGTTTAAAGAAATGTGTCCGCACCCTGTGGGAAAGTCCGGTTTTCACCTGACAAAACAAATAAATAGGCTGCAAACACCAACTCCAAGGTTTGGCTATGAATACTATTAGGAGCATTCAAAGAGTATTTCCAGAGTAGTTGAGCAGCACATCCTCTATCTGAAATGGCCTCTAATGTCTAACCATGAAAAGATGCAGTGCAAACCACATTTCTTAAAACAATTGATCCCAGTGGCCTCCAGGTCAGGCAGGCTAATATACTACTAAAACCTAGTGTGGCACTTTGTGCTCATCATCATATGCTCGGACATTTGCAACTTTTACAATATGTCTGACAGTGCTGGATAGGTGTGGGGCCCGAGGTGTAGGTGAGCGCTGTCCCCCGGGGTGATGGATGCCTGTGGGAGGCTGTTATGCCACAAGGTGAAAATGTCCATTAATCAGCCCACACTTCCTCCATTGCCGTGGCTTTCCCATTACCAGCGCGCTCCGAGCAGGCTGATTGGTTTTTAATTGGCCTGCCCGCCAGGAGATAGATCATGTTTTCCCAGAGGAAAGGCACGGAGGTGTGTGTGTGTGTGTGTGTGTGTGTGGTGGGGGGGCACCCGCGCTATCTCTGGAGGGATACCCACACTGAGATTGTCTCTATGCGCCTATCTAACAAGAGGGATGAACAACCAGGTCTGGGTGGTCACCTGTCACATGCAATATTACTGGTTTTGCCGGAGTAATAAATTCAGTGGTGACATGACAGCTACCAATTATGTAAGTAATTATACAAGCACATCCTTCTACATATGAGATTGAAACTGGCATGTCCTTAAACTACATCCTAACCCCATCCCCCAGGTTCTGAAGGAGTAGGGATGTTTGCAGCTGCAATATCTGTATCGGTATGTTGTCTTGTTTTCACCTGTCATGTGTTCCAAAATGTAAGACGGCAAAAAGTTTCCCAGTGACTGTTAAAAAAGAAATCTGGAATTTTGGTGTGAGTGATGTATGTGCCATAATGAATAGCCTGTAGCAGCAAGCGTAGCAGGGATGCATGTGTGAAGGACACGAGAGCAGCTACATCTTACACTGAGTAGACGTCAGTATTGACGTTGTGTCTGCTCAAATACATCAATCCCCTCTCCGCCCTCGCCTGACCACGTCACGGAGGCTGATTGGAGGGACACATTGATTCCCTGTGGTATCTTCATACAAAAACACAAGGATACATCTGATCCATCTGGCCGAATGTACATCTCTGGAACTAATGTTTGAGAGGAAATGTTTAAAACAACCTGCCTAAATCGATTTTTTGTTTCATGCTATGATTTATCATAAGGAGAGGGAGCAGACAGCCTCCATGGCGTGGGCAAATATACTGCAGGCCAGCACTTCTGTAGGTGCGCCACAGTCTGACGTCAAGGGCAGGTTATGTTAGAGGGCCGGCCTGTAAAGCCTGTGTTAGCCTTCACCGCAGGGAGAGAGGGTGATCTGCACTGAGTTGGGGAGATATGCTCCTGGTGTGGAGCTGGAGGAAGCACCATCTACTGGGAGCTGCACCCAGTTATTTTGAGAGGCCAACCACATGTTCTGGATGTATACAGGGATGCAGTTCAAGGACCACGAGTTAGTTGGTGAAATACAATTTACAACACATTGTTTTTGTATTAGTAATGCAACATTGTTACGTTATATGATATATCCATTTCTTATTTTCACAACTTTTCTCCCTAGATTGAGATGCGTTTCTCCTGATACACATAAAGGTCAGCAGATGCTTCTTTTTCACATGCCAGCTTCACATAGAAGGCAAATGAGGTTCACATTGTTCTCTCCAGATTGTATCCCCCATTCATGAAAAAAAAACAAAAGCAACGGATAGGAGTTTGCTACGGCAAGGATGTGATCCCTCACTGACTTCCCACCCACAAACTAATTCTGCTTATTCTTTTATGTAAAAGCTAACATAACGTAACATCGTATACTGGACCTGGTTTCACTTAAAATGGTTAAAATGGTCATATATATATTTATTTTATTGTATCTAAATAAGGGTTTGAACATATTATGTTCTATAAATACAGAGTATTTTCAAAAGTGACCACTGCAGTAGAGCACACAGACAGTCTAGCGTGAATGCAGAGTCATGCTATGATAGTGTATGGCTCAGACATGCTTAGCACAACGTGAACGTGTGATCCAGCCACTCAATATGGAGGCTAATATTAGCGCATGTCTGGCCCCCCCAAGCCACCCCTGCCGATTGCATGCAGGGCATCCCCAGGAGGCTTTCTGCGGCTCATTCAGTATCTCCCATGCAAGGCTGGAGGAAAGACCCCCCCTGTCCACGTATTAGGCTCAGTCTGCAGCCACACAGGTTTTTGAAAATTCAGCAGATTTTTTGTCACATTAAAATACTGCATTTAGACACAATAAATATTTAAAATATATAATAACAAAGACTCACAGAAGACCATACGGAGCATACTGTCACACATTACAGTACCTAGGTACAGTACATTTCTAATGACCCTACGGTCCATATTCAGCAATGCCATCAACACCCAATTCCCTCAACCCTCCAGCTCTGACCAGACTGTTGTGATTATGAGGGGCTGGCTTCTTCTACTTTCACACCAGAGAGAGAACAGAGAGACAGAGAGAAAAGATGAGAAGGGGGGGGGTTCCCGCAATGTTGGTCGCAGCAAGACCCGGGTAGCGTGCTTTCCCTCTATAATTTAATTACATTCAGCTGTCTCCCTGTCCTCGGCTCGCTCAGCAAAGCACATCAGGCACCATGGTGGCACGCACGCACGCACGCACACACACACACACACACACACACACACACACACACACGTCTCCCCCTAACAAGCAAGATGTTTCCTTCCTCTTTCAGCGATAGGAACCTCCCAGCATAACTTCACCTCGTGCCAAGTGGCCGACACAAAGCTTAAAAATTCTTACCGCTTGACAGAAACTGTTTTACAAACATTGACTATACGGTGGAAATCGTGAGAGGCTGCAGTGCATACCAGCTTCTCACTTATAACGGTTTTACAAGAGAAACCCTGAGATCAGACTGAATCTATCAAACTAAAAGGCACACAGATATTAAAAGTGAAGAATTTCACCATGCCTGCATCCTGTAGGTTGATTTCTTGTTGTAAAAGAAACATCTTCTTAGTATAGGGAACACCCTGTTACAATCCCTCACAGTATCCCCAGATGTCACCAAACATTGTCTCCATCATTTGTTGACATGAGAAACATTCATTTTTGACACACTTTTGGCAAGGGAGAGTAGACACAAGTAGATCACTTTGAGTCAGAGCGTTGTTTGTCTTGACGGGAGGAAACATGTTGCAGCGCATCTGCTTTCTGCTGTGTATGTACAGTATATGCCACCCACGGGAGCACTGGCAGGCACACACAACAACATCTGCATTGCCTTTTTCTTACACGCAAATCAGAAAACAATACTGTGTGTTAGATGAAATATAGAACGGAGGGACTAGTGTGTGTGTGTGTGTGATTGTTTATATGCATGCAACTACACCAGAGAGTTTACTGTATTCCAAGTTGGGAACTCAAGCTCTCTTCCAACTTTACATTCTCTCTTTCCCTCTGAGTTTCTCTCCTCTGTCTCCATCTCCTCCACTTCTAATTGTTCCCTGGATGCGGTGTCCTCACTACCCCCTAGACCTCAGACTAACAGCAGACACAACACATCGCACTACACGAGAGACTGATTTTAGCAAAGGATTGAAGCACTTCAGGAACAACCAAATCAAATCATAATTTAATCATAATAATAATAATAACAATATGCTGCCTAAAATGAACGGCTAAACAAATATATATTGATGACAACTGCCTTCAGAAAACTATCCTCTTCCCCTACACTGCTGAAGTTTGCAGTGCAGCATTATCTACAGCAGGAGCACAAAACTTATAGTGCAAACTTTTAAATGGGTGCTCACATGCGACCGCTACTTCGACATGCTTCTTTGTAAAATCAAACTGCATTCAAGAGGAAAGACATTATTCATTTTCAGTAGCAATCTAGAGAGCTAGAAGCAATGTGACACAAACATATTATTAGACATCCCAGAGCAACTCGACCGGGACAATAAACTAGCCAAATCCCCTCAGCCCGCTGGTACTTTTTCTCACTTAAGACACTACACCAGTGAAGCCACATCACATGACTAAACCTATCTGAACAATTAGCAACACTAGAAACAAACACTACAAAAAACTGTGAGGAATTAAGAATCACAATTTGTTGATCTACTTCAGATTAGAAATATTTTGTTGCAAGATTGTAGATGTACCTTATATCTTTAATCAATGCATCAAAGCAAAGGCATAAGATGCCCTAAACAAGTACAAGTTACCTACCAACTGCAGTCTTCTCTTTAAACTTTTCCTCCCGCTCTCCAGAATGCGCTTCCTCTCCTTTTTCAGTCTTTCCTTTACTTCTCTCCCTTACTCTCTCCCAATTCACTTAGTGTGCTCACTGCAAACTTCTGCTCTCCTCCTGCATGCAAATCATTTTTACGACTTGAGAGATGACTGGGAATGAGGGAAGGAGGGAGAGCGATAGGGAGAAAGGATGACAGAGGGGTGGAGGAGTAGAGATAATGGTTGGAAGGCAGGCAACCAATGGGCCTGGAGCCTAATGGAAAACGGGAATCAGGACACACCAATGAGGCTCAGCCTGGAGAGAGAGCGAGCAGGAGGGAGGGAGAGAGAGAGAAAGAGAGAGAGAGAGCGGAGGAAACAGGCGAGGGAAGCAGGGATGGCGAGAGCACAGTCGGGAGGAGACGTTGTAACGCAGACCGAGAAAGACACTGAGGCAGAGAGAGAGCGCACAGAGAGCGATAAAGAAATAGAGAGAGTGCATAGCGGGTGTGCACGGTATGTGGAGGGAGGCGAGCATCCCTGGCGAGATGGAGAGAGTGCAGATCAGAGAGGAGGAACGGAAAGAAAGAAATGCACAGAGAAAGAGAAAAAGAGAGGCAGAGAGAGGAAGGAAGAAAGGGACAGAGGGAAGGAACTGACTTACCTGGGTACTGCTAGTGGCATCCTTTACACGCCGCCTCGCAGACTCCGCACACACATATACACACACGCACCCACCCCGGCGATACAGGCACACGCCGCGCCGCCGCTGAGACTAACCAAAAGCAAAAACAACAAAGGAGAGGACTGCCAAAGCCGACTGGTATACCCTAAAGCAATTGTGCCTGTGTGTGTATATGTGTGCGTGTGTTTGCGTGCAAGTGTGTGTGTGAGAGTCAGGGAGAGACGGTGGGAGTGCGTATGAGCATGTGTTTGTGCTGGGATGCGAGGGAGAGACGGTTGAAGGAAGCTAAAATACTCTCACTCCTTACTTAGCCCTATAATCTGAACTGGTTTCCTCTCTCTCTGTCTCCATCTCTGTGTGTTTCTTTCTCCCTCTATCTGTGTATCTCTCGCTCTCTGTACACTGTGCATGTATGTCCTCCTCCAACACTCAATACATTCTCTCGCTCTCTCTCTCCCTTGCTCTCTCTCTGCCTGCTGATGTGCCCTCCCTTCCCCTTCTCCCTCTTATACATTTATTCAGGGCTGCAGACTGTCTGCTCCCAGTCAGTTCTTCCCACGGGCCCCGGATAGAGATGGAGGCAGGGAAGAGAAGGGAAAGAGAGGGAGAATGGAGGAGGGATGTGGATAATAGTGAGCCATGTGGAACATGTGCAGTGAATTCATTTCAAATGGCAGAGACACAAATTTGTGCCTTTAAAAAGGCGAAAATGAGCCCCGCTCTTGGTTCAGTGCACATGATTTGGCCTGGGATCATTCAGAGAGCTGAGAGAGATGCAGGATGCAAACTTAAAGGAAGTCTCTGGCTGATCGCTGGCTTGCTTTTAATTAACACTTGTGTCCCCCGTCCCCCCCCACCGCTTCGGGGCTGGCTGAGCACCAGAATTAAGAGTGCAGAAGATGAATGAGTATTGAAACAGGCTAGTTTCGGCCATGTGTTCAGTGATGAGCACTGGTGATGCACCACTCCCAAACAGGAGACAGTATTTACAATATCATCATGTTCGAACCATAAAGAGGGTGACATTCGTGCGCACTCTTGTGTGAATGAGAATGGCAATAACAACGTGATGATTTCCATATTTACCCAGATATGCAAACATACAGAATGCTAATCTCATCCCTGAGACATCATCATAATTAGATTATAAATTAGGTGCATTTCTTACCGGACAAGAGGTGCTAATTCATTCATTTTCCGCCAGCGGGGGGTAGACTCAGCTGAAGAAGGCAGCAGCCACCCTATAGAGGAGACTTCTCATATGCTCATCTGAAAGCGGCAAGCAATAACATATTCAAATAAATTCTCATACACATAAATATTCAGAATAAGATTCAAAGATATGGGTCTATGCTCTTCCAATCCGATATACATGTATACGAGGCACATTGTTTTGATCCTCCTTAGAACAGTAAACAAATCAAATGCCATACAGCGGTATTTTACAGAACCAACAAGCCCTGCCGCTCTCTCCAACAATGCTGCCAGGCAGTTGAGGAAGGCATGATAAGTACTCTGGTGGGTTGGGACACAGATGCCTTCGGGGCGTTTAATATTAGCAATTTCAAATTCTTATTTGGCTATGTTAATGCCAATCAAGCACGATTAATTTATCCCACACCCTTAAACAAATAAACAAAAGGGGAGAAATGTGCCTGAATAAGGAAAACGCCGGTAATTTGAGGAATCATCACACATTAGGAATACTAGCCGGAAATCAATGTTTAAGCAGTTATTGTATTATGAGGCTCACTCTGGTGTCAGCATAGAACCAGAGGTCTCTCTCACTGACACAGCAGAACCGTGTTGACTGGATGTGAAGGGTATCCTCTGCTGAAAAATGATTACAATGGGAATCAGTCAGTGGTTAAAATGGATGCAGAAAACTCAATTTTTTTCTGTCCGGATGTATTTGCTCTTATTCATTTAAATACATGCGTTTTGAACAAGATTTAACTCATTTAAAAGCTATTACACCTCTGTTAAATTCACATGTAGAGTAACAAATGCAGATATTTTACCAGTTTTTAATTGCAGGGTTTTTTTAAAACAAAAGTTTTTGAGGTTTTTTTTACAAACAAAGGTTGTCTAGTGTTCATCTTTTGCTGATATAGTTTTCTTAAGGTTCATATTTGGTCTGTAAGTTTAAGAATACAAGTTTCTTTTTTTTCATAATTCTACAACGATACAACCGCGTTCCATTTATGTGTGCAAGTGCCATGGCTCTGCTTTGTGCTTGTTAGCTCAGTGAAACATAATTAACGCTATCTCTTACACCTGTGCTCTTACTTTTACTGCTTTGCCGAGCCAAATGTCCGCATTGAGAGAGGCCCATTCACAAGCTTAAGTTTGTTATTGATGCAAGAAGATACAACATTTGTTTGGCCAATTCTTTTTGAAGACAATTTGTATTGTGCTAGGTGTATGTCAACTAACGTTATCTTGCTTCTCCTTATTGTAATGTTCAGTTCTCTCAGTAAAAAAACTAGCATGAACCTTAAAGCAAAAACTATCTTAAAGCCCAAAGCAAAAACTAGCTTAAAGCAAAAACTAGCTTCAAGCCCAAAGCAAAAACTAGCTTAAAATAAAAACTAGTTTAAAGCCTGAAGCAAAAACTAGCTTAAATCACTTTATCACGAAGACCCACTAAATAACAATGTTTATAGTGATTTCAGCCCAAGCAGTGCAGCAATGTAACATAAGTGTAAAAAAAAAAGATAGGCGAAGACCAAATCTTTTTGATACTGACCTAGCTGTTAACTGATTTATTCAAAGTTCTTACCATTACCGTTTTTCTCAAAAGTAAGTTAGCTGAAGTTAGTTAACATTACCATGCAGTAAAACTTTTCTGTTAGGATAATGTTAGTTTTTTCTCTAAGTTAAGTTGACCTACCAGTTATGGAGGTAACGTTCCACTCCCTTCGTTAAGAGGAAAAAGGATGTAGCATTTAACTAACGCTTGTCTTAAGTGTGACGGTTTGGTTTGGCGTGTGTGTCGCCTACTGTTTTCTGTCAATGTGTGTTTCCACGGTTTGCCCCTTAAATTTGAACCAAATGTCACAGGTAATATGGTGGCCCTGAGAGCTCAACTCACATGCAAATTATGAAAACACATGCAATTGACATCAAAACACAAGCAAATTAAGAACATATTCACCAATTTGACAATACAGCGAGCACGAGTTAAGCACGGATCCGTGATCGGATCAGATCACACCACACAGTTCGGCACACTTGTGAACCACGGATTAATATAGTATAGTATATAGTATTTATATAGTATTTTTTTTTACAGTTTAATCATAGTGTGTAATAATGTTTTACTCCTGTTGTTCCTTTTCAAGTAACAAGTACCCGAATATCAATGCAGAGTGTCAGTGAACAGATATAAAGCAGTAGGGTGTTCACGTGAATGGAGCATGTTAAAAGCATTTAACGGTGAAAGTCATGGTGAGGGGAGGAACTTGAGAAGCCGCGGTGTCACTTAAGTCGCAAGTTTGGAAGCATTTTGTCTTCCCTGTAACTTATAATGATGGGATAAGGGTGGTGGACAAAACCGTTACGGTATGTAGGCGTTGTTTAAAGAGAAAGACATACAACAGACATGTCCAAAATCCGGCCCGAGGTCAGATTTTATATGGCCCGCACCTTCTGTCTTAAAATGCATTATTTATGGCCGCCAGCACAGTCAAAACGGAATGAATAAATCATACAAATTCAACATGCAATTCCTCTTTTTACCTCATGGTGGCAGAACCACTCTGTAACTGTCTGGCTGTTTGAAATTGGCTCTGACCCTTGAACTGTCATGTTACGGCAAGTAAAAAACAAAGGAAAGTCGATAATGAGGGCCGCCGCTTCCAGGAGAGGTGGAGATCGCAATATTTTTTTCAACGAAAACCGAAACAACTGTGTCTGCCTAATTAGTCATGAGACTGTTGCCTTGTTTAAGGAATATAATGTAAAGAGACACTACGAGACCAAACATGCTAATGCTACAACAAGCTATCAGAGAGCGACCATGCTAGAAAAGTGAAGCAACTCCAAGATAACTTGGCCACACAGCAGCAGTCCTTTTCACATGAAAACATCATCAAAGTAAGCTACCAAGTGGCCATGGTAATTGCTAAACATGACAAACATGACAAACATGACAAAGTTTATCAAAGACTGTGTTATGAAAATAGCAGAAAACATTTGCCCAGAGAAGAAGACAGAGTTTGCTAATGTTTTCCTGGCTCGTAACACTGAAGAGCTATCATCAGATACTAAGAGACAACTTGATTTTTTTCGTTAGCCTGTTTCATGTGTGTTGAACTTAAATGTTAGACAACTTTTCATTACCCTCACTAAGTCATATTTAAGATTGTCTTGAGGTGAGAATATTGATCGGTTTCTATGTAATTAGCTTTTAGATGGCTTGTTCTTTGTGTTATCTGACTTTCAAGATGTGAAAGAAAGGCAGAATAGTTGTTGAGATTTGTTCACACATGAATGCTTACATTTGGTTACATTGCTATTTGCTGTCATTGAAAATAAAATGATTAAATAACAATGTATGTATAGGCTACTTGTATTGTTTAAAATAATGTCAGCAGGGACTGTTGACCCTTGGGCATTTGAACATTATCAAATCTGGCCCTCTTTGAAAAGATTGTGGACACCCCTGTGGTAAAATAACAATGTCAGGAAGTAAAGTGACATTTTTTTATCAACCTGACAAAATTACGTTCTTGTGGGAAGAAAAGAAAAGAAAAGGCAACAATGTAACTTCTTTACATTCTAATAGAATGTAAAGAAGTTACATTGTATCAGAATGTAACTTCTTTACATTCTAATAGAATGTAAAGAAGCTACAGTGTATAGAATGATTCTATTGAAGTTATTCCTTTTTTAAATGTTTTAGACGAGTCACTAATCACTTTAAAATAGTGATTATAGCTGATTTAACTTACAGACATGAGATTGATCTTCTCATGTCACTCTCTTTATACAATGATATAAATTCATCCCCGTTTTATCTACAAGGCTACTTGTATTGTTTAAAATAATGTCAGCAGGGACTGTTGGCCCTTGGGCATTTTCACATTATCAAATCTGGCCCTCTTTGAAAAAAGTTTGGACACCCCTGACATACAACAACAGCAGTACAGTTTGAAGCGCCACTGGGGTGTCTGTTAGCGACAGAGCCAAGGCACAACAACAAGAAGGCATTTAAAACATTCTCTGTTGTGGAAAACAAAGGATTTCAAAATCTGGTTAAAGTGCTTGAGCCTCGCTACGAAATCCCCTCACGTACCCACTTTAGTATGAAGATCATTCCAGGCCTCTATGAAAAGGAAAAGATCAGGATTGTGGACGAATTATCTAAGGCATCCTCTGTTGCCATCACCACAGACGGGTGGACCTCCAGGGCAACAGAGAGCTACGTGACTGTGACCGGGCACTTCATCTCGGCGGAGTGGGAGATTCATAGTCCGGTGCTGCA